GACTGGAAGGGATCTGTCCTTCTTTCCCTCCTGGACTTTTATTTGGAGGGGAGAAGAGATCTGGTCCACTGTAAATACTATATGTCATGGTAGAGATAGTTGTGATCATGTGTATAATGTGATATGGTATTTATTTGTACAGTCATTGTAATATATTTCCCTTTCCCCCACTTTGAGTCTGGTGTGTTTTGTCTGGAAAAAAACCCATCTCACATTAGGTTGAGATGTGGGAGGGGGATGGAGCTAGGGAAGTGGATTTTGGGGCTATCTCAAACCATGACAGAACCCCACTTACCAGTGTGAGAACCACGTGGATATGCAAGAGGGAGTCTGTATTAAGTGAAGAATGTAGATGTGATGATAGAGGTCTGGGCAGGAGCAAAGGCTGATATAAGAGAATAAAGTGCACAAGATTGTTCAGGAGATGCAGTGTGGTCCAGTATCTTGTTGGGGGAGGAGGTGATGCTGCAGTCCCAAATGAATCAAAGTTCCCTCTGTGCATTCCCGCTGCTTGTAGGAAGGAGGTAGGAGAGTGTTGAGACCTTCTCTTGCCCTTATCCCTTTCCACACGCAGCATTTCCAAGGGCAGTAGATGACCCTGAGGAACAGCAGATTTGCTTTCTCCTTTTGATTTCGTTTTGTTCATTTGTTCCTGCCCACAGTTTTGCAGAGGATGTGATTCACATCTACTATGAGAGCGACGAGGTGGTGTGTGAGGATGTGGAGCTCCAGGCTTTCGTCAAAGACATTTACGTCTATGGGATGAGGGGTGTGAAAGCCTCAGGTAAGGTGTGATGGCCCTGCCAGGTCTGCAGCTTGTTGATTCCCTGCTGACAGCAGCGCTGCGTGCACAGCACGCCTTGTGCTGTTAGAGACCCTCTCTCTTCTTGACCCAAAGATGCTCAGTTTTATGGGTGAGACCCTGGATCAGGCCCTCCCTCAGGAGACAGTGCCTTCCTTTGCCACAGATTCTCCTTATGAGCTTGGGCAACTCATGTAATCTCTCTGCACTGGGGACAGGTCCTTTGATCTTGTCTGCTTATGCTTTAAGCACTGGGGAGGGATGATGTCTGTAGGTACTGTTGGAACCACCAGGCAGACTGACAGAAATCACAAGGAGCAGTGAGACCCCCTTGAATCCTCTCTTTCAAACCTTGCACCAAATAAGAACATGTAAGAACCTCTCCAGGAGTATCTTGCTGCACTTTTTATTTGTTCGGCATCTATGTCACCACTGAGCTGTTCTACAAGAGAAGATACTCATAATTATTTCCAAGAAATATTCTCCTTTACTCTGTCTCTTCTCACTGCCTCTCTTTTCTTGCAAACCATTACTTGGCCATGGAAGCTCTCACCCATAACATGGCTCAATTCTCCCACATGACTTAACACTCCCCTATCTTTCCCTAAACATGGGGGTTTTTTACTTCCACTCACATTTTTTCCAAGCAGATTTTCAGGAGTTTATAGAGGTGGGTGAGGATTCTTCACACTGTCCTGGCTGATTTACATCTGGCAACACCTGTTGGCCAGTGACCTAGGGCAAATGGCTTTGATGTTGCAGGCACACATTTGAGTGCAAGGTGTCCAAGCAAACCTGTTGTATTTCCAGTCATTAGCAGTATATGCTGGTGTATAACAGCCTCCTGGACTCTCTCTTCCTGGTCAAGCAAACCATCGGGATACACCTTGTTGCTATCCTTTTTGTTTGTCAAGTTGTCTCTTAGGAAAAGCTTAGAAGTGGCCTTCTTGTAGGAACTTCATGCTTGACCTAAGCATCATGATATGGGACAAGTACTGAGCCTTTCCAGGGCTACAGCTGGGGTGGGAAGCTACAAGCACCACCAGGGGCAGGGCTGCCACTGCAAATGGGAAGCCTGCCAGGTCTGCACCATCTCTGTCTGCACTGCTACCACTCCAGAGCAGGGGGACTTGGCTGGGTCTGTAAAGAATGGGAGGAGGATAAATGGGGGAGGCTATAGTACTTGGGGCTCCCCCTCTAGTGTCTCTTTCTTCCCTGTGAGGGCTGCTGTGACTAGGAGAATACCAAACTCCTTTAAAGATGAGCACAGTGTGCTTAGGATAGCAGAACACAGAAGGGGATGGTGCATCCTCTCCACTTGGGGCTTAGTGGCTGACCAGAGATACCGTGTGCCTCTTCCCTCTCTCATGTTGAGTTCACATCTGCATCAGGTTGGTGGTGGACGTGTGAAGCAGCTGAGCAGGGGCAGCTTGCTCCAGGGTACTGACAGAGCTGTAGGTTTACTGGGACCTGTGGTCACACTGGAATGGGACAGGAAGTACAGCACCATGTTATTTAGGGAGGATAAGAGAGATACAGGCCTGGGGTTGCTTTGGTTGCAAAATATTGCCCTAGTCCCTGACTATTGCATTCTTTCTTTATATAGCTCCATTTGATTATTCTCCTTCAAAGACAGCTTAATGCAAGTATTTCTGTTCCTCATTCTGTTGTTTCTCTTTCAGAAGTTCTCATTTCCTCACTTCCCATTTCAGCGAATAAGCTCTCCCTGCTCTCTTTCTCACAGTACACTTGATTGCTGAGCCTCAGACCTTTATAAATACAAGCACATGGTCACTTCCTCCTTGACATGAGCCTTCCCTGCTTGCACTGCAGACTGAAGAAAAATGGAGCATCTGAGGCCCCTGCCCTGTGGACTGTCTGGGTGCCTTGCTGCAGGGTAGGTAGGACAGGGCCACAGTGTTTTTTAAAGGTGTAATTACACTTTGTCTTTCCCTTACGGAATACCACATACTTTGCAAATGGTGATACCTCACAAACCTGTATAAGGTAAGGCAGGATCACCCTGTTTTTATAACCACACAGCCAAGGCACAGAGAGGTTGTGTAGCTTCTGTTAGACCACACAGCAAGACTCATAGAATGCCCTGCTCCTCAGTGACTGCTTCATAGCCCTCTTACTCCTTTCTTTTGATTACTGCTGGATAAAAGGTTCAAAACTTCATAGCTGGGTTACTTAAGCTTTTCTTCTCCCTCATTTAGGGTTTCCTAAGATGATCAGGACACGAGAGACACTAGCAGAATATCTCACAGTGATAATATTCACCGCATCGGCTCAACATGCAGCTGTTAACTTTGGTCAGGTAGGAATTTGTGGGAAGACTGTTCTTCCTTCTGGACTGGGAGGTACATCTACCAGTGCAAGGTCTGAGAAGTATTTTTTAGTAGATGTACAGAATTACACTGTTGTTTCTGGTCAAAATAACTGGAGAATCATCTGCAAATCCCCATGAAGTCTATGCAAACTGCAGTAATTTGGAAGCTGAGAAAGGCCTTTCGAGTCCTACATATGTACCAAAGCTCAGATTTAGGGGTTCTAACTTGTATATTTTAGTTTTACTGATTTTATTATGAGGAGCAATTTTTTTTCAAGCATTTGGTAAGACCTCTTTCAGGAATGCTGAAGGGTTCAGATGTCCAGCCTAGCTACCGTGTTTTTCACACATCATCTGAACTGCCTGGATTTGAGATGTGATGGTAGTGTGAGGCCCATTCTGCAATGAAATGCAGTGAGTTATGCTAAGTGGCTTTACTCTGCCTTTGCTGCGAGCACAGGCACAGGTGATTACTGTGGGTTGCTGCTGTAAGTTGTGCTAATTTCACAGAATCACAGAATATGCTGAGTTGGAAGGGACCAACAAGAATCATCAAGTCCAACCCTTAGCCCTGCACAGGACCATCCCCAAGAGTCACACTATGTGTCCTGAACTCTGTCAGGCTTGGTGCTGTGACCACTTCCCTGGGGAGCCTGTGCCAGTGCTCAGCCACCCTTTGGGTGAAGAGCCTTTTTCCAATATCCAACCTAAACCTCCCCTGACACAACTTCAGGCCATTCCCTAGGGTCCTGTCACTGGTCACCAGAGAGAAGAAATCACTGTCTGCTCCTCCTTTTCCCCTCACAAGGAAGTTGTAACTGTAATGAGGTCTCCCCTCAGTCTCCTCCAGCCTGAACAAACCAAGTGACCACAGCTGCTCCTCATACGGCTTCCTCTCAAGGCCTTTCACCATCTTCGTTGCCCTCCTTTGGACACTCTCTAATGGCTTAATATCTTTCTTATATTGTGGTGCCCAACACTGCACACAATATTCAAGGAGAGGCCACCCCAGTGCAGAGCAGAGCAGGACAATCCCCTCCCTTGACCAGCTGGCAATGCTTTGCCTGATGCCCCCCAGAACAGGGTTGGCCCTCCTGGCTGCCAGGGCACTGCTGACTCATATTCAACTTGCCACCAACCAGGATCCCCAGATCCCTTTCCATGGCACTGCTTTCCAGCATCTCATTCCCCAGTCTATGAACATCCAGGTTTGCCTCAGCCCAGGTGCAGAATCTGGCACTTCTCTCTGTTGAACTTCATATGGTTGGTGATTGCCCAGTCCTCTAATTTGTTGAGGTCTCTCTGCAGGGCCTTCCTGCCTTCAAGGGAGTCAACAGCTTCTCCACGTTTTGTATCACCTGCAAATTTGCTTAGTATCCCTTCCAGTCCTGTGTCCAAGTCATTTATGAAGATGTTGAAGAGCACAGGGCCTAAGGTGGAGCCCTGTGGAACCCCACTAGTGACAGGTCACCAGTCTGATGTTACCCATTCACTATTAACCTTTGTGTTCAACCTGTGAGGCAATTGCTCACCCACCACATGATATTTTTATTCAACTGTGGGCTGGACATTTTGTCCAGAAGGATCCTGTGACAGACAGTATTGCAAGTTTTAAGCTGAAGTGCATCATCTCAGATTGCAGCAAAACTCAGGGTCATATCTGAAGCAAAAGGAGACATCACCAGCTCACAATAGTGAAGCAGACCAGAAGTGATTCTGAGTTCCCAGTCTGCCAGTCACCATGGCCATATCTGCATGCCATATTCCATATTACTTGATGAAACAACATCCTTTATCTCTCTTACTGCCTGACCACAGTACTGTGGGCATGTTCTTGGAGGAAATTTTGCAGAAAAGAGAAACTGGAGAAAAGGGGATTTTAATTTTTTTTTTCAGCTGTCACCTCAGGTTATCAGAAAAGGTCTTTGTTTAATAAAATAGCTAAGGCCTTAGCCTGGCTGGTGAATCTGGGCTGTGTGGCACATGCCTGTGGTTAGCAGAATAACTACTCCCATTTAGGTGACTCTCTTGTGAGTTCCTGAGCAAAAACAGAAGGGACTTCCTTGTCACCTCCAGTCCTTCTCTAGAGCATCTCCCTGTCTTAATATCCTCTCTTTCTGAAAGGCTCATAATACAGAAGCAAATTCCCAGTTGTCAAGCTCCTGATTTTCTTCACTGTGTTCCTAAATACCAACGACTGTAGCTTTTCACTGTGCTCTCTTGCTCTGTTGTGCAGTATGATTGGTGTTCCTGGATTCCCAATGCCCCACCAACAATGCGCTGCCCTCCTCCAACAGAAAAGGGGACTGTCACCATCGAGCAAATTGTGGAGAGTCTGCCAGACAGGGGACGTTCCTGTTGGCATCTTGGAGCTGTTTGGGCCTTAAGCCAATTCCAGGACAAAGAAGTAAGTCAACCTCCCTTCTCTGGGTGGTAGAGATGTAGGTGAGACCATGAGGGCCATGGCAAGACTGCACAGACTCACAAGATTGTATTGCTGCTCTGTGCTTGACTTGACTATGTTTACTTTTCTGTAGAGATGTGTCAGTGGTATGGGTTTGTCCTTATTCTACCAGATGCAAACCAGCTCTGAGCAAGAAGTCATACTTTTACTGAGACTCTGTTTCAGCTCAAATGAAAGTTTCTAAGCTTGTCCATGGCATTGCTGAATAAGGATGCTGGTGTGGGAGGAAGAGGGCTGCAGAGTCATAAGGGTTTTTTCCATTCCTTGCCCCAGCAGTGCTGGGGAAGAAGGTATAGCAGTTCTCTGTCCCCATGTCCTGTCCCTTTGAAAAATCTGCCCCAGTGCCACGTGCATTACAGTGGTGGCTTGTGCCTGGCTGGTGAGGAGCAAAAACAAAACAAGCCCGTGGAAGGCTTTGCAAGCATGGTGTGTAACCATTTCCTTCATGTAAAATAAGGTTGTCGGTACTTGGTTGTTTCACCCAAGGGCTCTGTCTCGGGGATATGTTTTGAAATCCTTAAATGGATGATGATGGACAGAGGGCACTTTAAGTTTCTCTCTAAAAAAAAGCAGTACTAGCAGAGAAACTGGTACTATGAGTAGTATCATGGGAAATAGTCACCTAAGTGTGCATATTGTCAGTGCAGTATTCAGAGCACCCTTTGAGTCCAAGCTGACTAAAGCAACTGTCACTGAAACTCTGAAGGACAGTTTTAAGTCAACAGAAACTTGCACTGTCACTGAATGAAGTAGTTATCTTCCTTTTTCATCTCTGGCTGTTAATTCCACTCTCATGCTGTCCTTTTCTCTAGCAGCATAAATGTTTGCATGGCTACGCAGAGATCTGGCTTAGGAAGCTCAATCTGACTGACCACTGGCCTGAGAAGTGCCTGTTTTTCAGCAGATGAGCTCTGTACAGGTGGAGGAGGTGCCACATAGACACCTGAACTAGCGCTACAAAAAGATGCAAGGATGGAAAGAAGCAGCCAGCAATGGAGGGGAGGTAGCAGAGAGCATCTTTCATTGACAGTGTCGATGTAGACTAGCTTAAATATTGCTAGTACTATTTTAATAGTAGCGTTTGTGAGGTGAGACTCTGGGTGCTGTTCTGCTGGATGACATAATGTTGAAACAGAATTGCCTTTGCTTACTTAAAGCATGATTTCTTGGTGTTTTTCAATTAGCTGTTTCTGGGCATGTACCCAGATGAACACTTCGTGGAGAAGCCAGTGAAAGAGGCTATGGCAAAATTCCGCAAGAATTTGGATGAGATTGTCAACACCATCACCGAACGCAACAAGAACAAAAAGCTTCCTTACTACTACCTTTCCCCAGATCGCATTCCCAACAGCGTTGCTGTTTGAAGAGATAGCCAGGAGAGTTTGGAGGCATGTAAAGCTGATGATGCTTTTCTGTTACATATGCTTCTTCAATTAACTTTCAGAAATGGATAAGAAACCCACCCCCTCCATCAGAGCTGGCCTATCTGAACTTTCAGAACACATCTGGTTATGACCAACCTTACAGACAAAGTCTAGTCGACAACCCTCTAGGTCAAATTTGTTAGAAGTTTATTTTTCCAGGATTTTAAAATTTATCTTAGAATCAATATACATGTTTCTGTTATCTTGCCCTCTCCTTGACAAGACAATGCAATCACAGATTCACTTACTCAATGGAAAAAGTATCATGAGCAATAAACAAGTCATATCTTTAAAATCCCTCCTGTTTTAAATAGGTGACACTGATGACATAGAAGAATGTAAATCTTTAATGGTTTTAATCTGATTAAAACAAATGTTAAATATTTTCACAACAATTGTGAACATCCTAATAAGGATAAAGGTAAAAGAAGGACATTTTCTTAACATAGCTGATGGGATTTTATCACTTTCTTACCAAGTTCATGTGAAACAGCATCTCATAAGAGCCAAAAATTTTGTACCTACATAAACTTAAGTATTTTCTGCATAAAACTAGAAAGGTTTCTTTTAGCCTGTCCAGCAGAGTTTGATGTCCCTCACACGTAAGGACAAATGTTTTACTTAGCACAACAGCAGCAAGTACAGACCTAGCAGTGCTTATGCTCAGTTTCTGTTTCCTTGCTTGAGGCTGCTGGGTTTTGTGGACAGTTTGTTCTGTTTTGTGGGGAATGAGGAGGCTACTTCATATAATGGAAGAATTTCTGGAGAAGGCTTAATCGACAGCTTCTAAGAGGAATCTTAGATTTGACCAGTTAAGCAAAACTAACATGTTCCATCTTAGAGACAACTGAGTTTTGTCTGTTTTGTTTAGAGGTAAATAGGTTCAAATACTTGAGCTTTGGCTAAAGTTGAGAAAGTCACTGAGATAATGAAAGCAAAATTGAGGTTTGAGAAATTTAAGAGTTATGCTTTTGGTGATAATATTTTTCTGAGAATTTGTTCCTTGTACTAAGTGCACCAGCCTGCAACGTATTTTCTCAATAGATAAGAAATCTTCTTCTAATAAAACAAAACTGAACATCTAGCTTTTATTTCCTAATTCAGTATCTAATGCTGTATGTCTCAAAAACCTTGTAGGAATAAACACAATGTGCTGTGTAGAGAAATGCAGCTTCTGCTCTTTGAGAAATATAGTTATTTCTATCATTCATGTGTGATTTGGAAAAGGGTACTACTAAAATATACAAACTTTCATATGAAACAGGTGTGGAAACTGATTTTAGACCCTTTACAGCAGACTGATTCCCTTTTTCTCCCCCCAGCTAAAGACTTTGAGAAAGATGTGGAAGGTAAGACCATTTCCAGTTACTGAGGAAGTACATTTATGATTTGTTCATCATCTTCTTACTGCAGCCCATGGGAAGGGATGAGTGCAGGAGTGGAGTCATGCAATTGTGCAGCAACACTGGAATAAGACCAAGGGATCACAGACAACAACCTGTGAACCCACCCCTCCAGAAAAAAAAAGGGGGGTGGGTGGGAAAGAAAAGTGCAACTTGAATGCAAGAACTTGAAAGCAAAATTGCAACAAGCTGATGCAATATATCCAACAAGCTCTAACTCTTGTTCTTCCCCTGTGTTCAGAGAATGTCCTCTTGTTTTCATGTGATAATGATTTGCATAGTCAAGTACCTGTCTAGAAAACAAAATATGAGAAGACTTTGATGGATGTTCTCTTGGATCTGTGCCGTCTGCTGTAGCCTGTGGACCTAGGACAGCTGGTGAGAGATTTGGGTAATTGACTGTGCAGCTTTGAAGACTGGTGGTAGCAATCTGATTCAGCAGCAGGAGAGGCTGTGGAAAGAGGTAAAGAGGTTAAAAGTAATACTGGCACCAGAAGGGAAGCAGATACTTGCAAGTAATAAAGTGTTTACTGTTTCAGGGGGTCTGGGTACACATATTGCTGTCCCAGTCCTGCCTCCTTTTCAGTTCTCTTTCCACCAGGAAGTCATCTTGCTGTGCATGGGCCATGGGTTCCTCCCCTACATCTTTAGCCATGACTTGCACAGAGGTATTTCCTAAGCCATGGTGCTAAGGTAGAGTGTCTACTTGCAGGATGGCTCCTAGGTGGGAATGAAAGTATCAGCTGTCTCTGAAGTGTGTCATGCACTCAGCTTTGCAATAGGAACTGCAACTTGGTGTCCATCAGCCCAGCATGTGTCCTGGCTGGGTGGTTGTTGCTGCTGGCCAGTCCAAGGGAATTTAGCATGACTCTTCAACTTGAGCTTCCTTGCTGTCTTTTCCAATTGCAGTGATTCTCAACTGGCTGGAAGATTGAACTAGGAGATATCTGGTTTAGGAAATTCTGGCAGTAACTCAGGCAGCTCTGTTATCTCAGCTCTTCCTCTTGGCATTTGGTCACTGGAGAGGACACGGCTATAAAATGCCAGTGCTAGTGAGAATCGAACTGGTAAGCATTGTCCTAGAGGACTGCCACAAGTAGGGGAGAAAGCCTAATGTTTTCTCCCAAAGCAGATTCAAAAAAATCTCTCCTTAAGAGAAAAGGAGGCCATGAGATGGAGAGAGGGACCATCAGTGAGGGGACAGAGCAGGCATTTCCCTGCTGAAGTCTCTGACTCTTTGGGTTCATCAATGACAGTGAGGATTTAGGCCTCCACAGCCAGCCCAGTTCTCATCAGTGGCCTCCCATGCTTTCCTCTTTTTGCAGGGTGACTTTGCCTCTATAGACTTCTTTTGGCGTATTCCCTTTCCCAACCCCCAAACATCCCTTGCAATAATATGATTCTCACTGCCCCCGGAAAAAAAGCTCAAATGCTTCTTGTTCATCCCATAGGAAGTAAGCTACCCTTTTCTTTTCTGGTCAATCCCCATTTTACAGGTGGGGAAATGGAACAAGAGCAATCAGCTCTTGAAGTCCACCAGATCAACTCTGAATTGAGGTGCTTCCTTTAGAAAGAACACAAGAAAGTTGTTTACTGGAAGCATGCTAATTTTGGCTGCCTAGAGAGCAGACAAAGTTTTCAGGCTTGGCCTTTCAGGGTTACTTACTCTGCTTCATGTTGAGCAGAACATAAAATAGACCCCAAAGATGAGTTTCTTACTAGCAAGTTTCAATCAGCAAGTGGCTTTTACTGCCACAGTAGTAGAGACATAGTATCTAGGAAGAAATTGTGCCCACTGAGATAGTCGCACAAGTGCATAGGTTGCTTCATTTATACTATAAACAGGCATAAATATTGCATAATCAGCCGTGGCTGGTACATTTAGAGGTTAACTGAGTCATGAGTTTTTATCACCAGAAGACATGGCTATGATTGCTTAGACTGATTTCAGCACACCACAGGCCTTAGGATTTCCCTCTTCAAACTCAATACAGGGGTGCTCGATACAGGAATCTTCTGTGAACATATCCACTCATGGTTTACCAAAACCTGGAATTACATAATTCACCCTGGTGTTTGAGTCACTTGTCTCGCTGGTGAATCCCTCATGCTGTGAAAAATATGCACTGCTTCTAGTTCCGCATGCATTCAGCCTTTGCATCTCGCAATAGACAGCTTCTTGCAGTAGCTTTGTGTGATTGGAAATCCTTCTCTGACCAGTTCCCTACTACATTCTTCCCCTTTCTTTTGTAAACTGAATAGATTATTTTCCTGCGTTCTTTTGCTGTAAGACTTTCTTTAAAACGCTTATCTATTACCACTGTGTGGGCAGCATGTGGGCAGTTGATGTCAATGATGTTTCAATGGCTTTCAGTCAATATTTCATAGGCTGCATTTCCTCCTTCTTGCAACTGTGTATATGCAGTTTGTCCCTAGATTTATGTCACAAACCCACAGCAAATTATCTGTGTTACTGCACAAATTTCCTGTTTGTGTGTATGCAAGTGGCTGGCAATACCTTCAGTGAGTGAGAGAAATACTAAGTGAGCTGTTGGTACTCTGGTAGGTCTCTATAAGGCTTCAAATTCAGCTTCTCTGGGGAGCACACTGTATATCTAGCAGCCTTTTAACTTTAGATTGACAGTGTTTAAAATCCTGTACTTAGTGGTTAGACTCAATTTGTAATTATGTAGCTGAGTTATCATAGAATTGTTTGGGTTGGAAGGGACCTTAAAGATCATCTGGTTCTAGCCCCCATGCCATGGGGGGTTCTAGCATCCAATGCTAGAAATATTTAACCTATATTTAACTTTATCAGGGTTCACTCTAAAATAATTCAGGCTTTTGTCTGCCTGCATATACCAATATACAGCAGAGGTTTCTAGGGAGCCTGGCCAGCCAGTTCAGCAGAAATGCACAGGTACAGCAGGGGAATGCTCTACACTCAGTGCAATTACTGCAGTCTACATTGGCAGTGGGAACTAGACTGACAACATCCTTTTATACAGCACACTGAAGAACCATTTCTTTCCTAACTTGGTGCTTGTCCATAGAGCTCTTCATTCACTCTTCAGTACCTTCTCTGACCACCTTCCTCACATGCATGAAGTGATTAATGTAATGTGCAAACTAACAGCTGCCACACGTAGATCCTCCTTTTCAACTTGCTGCCTCTTCAGTATCCATTTCAGGAGAAATCCTCATGGACAAGTGGTACTTTGGTCTTCCAGAAGACCTGGCAGCAGTCTCTGAGTCCTTTTGTCTCTGCTGGAAGCACATCAATATAAGAGCCACTGTCTCCAGGGGACCTGAAGCATATGGATGACTCTCATCTCTTTTAAAAGGCTGTAGATACTTTATCTGTTATACAGTGTTCTTTGATTGCAGCTTGTGGCTCTTAGACAAATGTTTTGTTTCATTTCATCAATAAGCTGAGTCATACCATTTTGTCTCAAAGATACTGCAGTCATGGCAGCAAAGGGAGCTCCATTCCTGCCCTTGGGGTTCGGGCTGTATCAAATACACTCTCCAGCCTTTGTTTTCTTTTCTGTTTCTCGAGTTAGATCTGGACAAGCTACATGACTTAATGAACCAGTTCTCTCTCATCTGTGAGGAAGATATTATAGGGGTCAAAGCTTGGTAATTTTTCAGATCTACTAACTCCGTAAATACCTTTTTTGCCTATTCCAGAGTGTGGTGTCTATGGCACTGGCTGCTGCCACTCACATATCTACTTATGTTTAGTAGCTATCAATGTTAAACAGTAATCAATAATCAGCATTAATCACTATCCTAACAGTTGTAGGACAATCTGTCTGAAGGGCATGTTTGTTGAAAACCAGACCTGCATGCAGGCAAAGCCAGCCTGATATGCTGATAATCAGGTCTCACAAAGTGTTTGGGTAAAACTAAATAGTCT